AGAGGTGGCACGCTTGCGCCTACGGACAGGCAACCGGTCCGACAGTTTTGTCAGTATAGGTTGCCTAATTCAAGGGGCTAATTTTCTGTACGTTCTGTTCTCGTGTACCTGTGCGACGAGATGGCACGAGAAATACATGGTACGTATCGAAATTCTGAGGAAATTTTACATTTTACATGATACTCAAAAAGTAGCATAACTTTTAATTAAATATCGATACTTACCTCTTGTATCAGAAGTATGTAATGAGCGAGTAATGAGGTATCATGATTTTTATTTTCTGCTCGGTACTTACCTCTTGTATCAGGAGAACTTAATATGCGAGTTGGTATTATAATTTTTATTTTTTGTTTGAAACTTACCTTTTGTATGGGGAGATCATGATGAACGAGGAGGTGGCACTAATCGAATTTGGCTCGAATTTTACTTCTGATATTATATAAGAACATGATATTCGAAGAGCTGGAATAAGTGTTAATTCTAGCTCGAAACGTACCTTTTGTATCAGAGTCACATGAACAAAGAGGGAGATCGAAGGAAGTTTGATTTCTTCTATCTCTGGGTCTCCAGTCGCAGCAACCTCCACGTGGTGAAACCTGGTAATCGGTATTATTCGTGACGAACAATGCTTCGTCGCGAATAATATCGAGAGCTAATGGCTGCAAACTTCTAATAAGTTCTTTAGTTATAAAAAGTGTAAAGTGTAAAGTGTAATCTGCAAAAGTGTAAAGTGCAAACGTGTAAAGTGTAATCTGCAAAAGTGTAAAGTGCAAACGTATAAAGTGTAATCTGCAAAAGTGTAAAGTGCAAACGTGTAAAGTGTAAAGTCAAAAGTGTAAAATATAAAGTGTAAAGTAAAATTAGATTTATTTAGATTAGCAGGGACAACATTCAGGAGCCGTAGCTGGATTAGTGATCCGCAGTGGGGATGGTTTCTGTGCATTTATCGTTATAAAAATTTGTGCGTATAAAATTTTACTGTAATAACAAAAAAAATGTTTCGTTACAACTGGGTCTTAGTGCGTCATGAAGCAATGAAGGGGTTTTCTGAGAAAAAAAATATCCTGTCCGCGGAAAATCGTTAAGTATGGTACAGCAGGTGGCGGTTCGCGATCAGTTAGTTTAGTTAGTTAGATTTTCAATCTCTCCAACTCTTGCGTGTTCGTGAAGTCTGTAAATTTTTAACGGACAAATTGAGTACAAGAGTGTTAGTGTTCGTGAGTGTAATATTAGGGAAAATTTAAAAAAAATGGATAATGAACCGCAAGCGTCCACGTCAGGAATCATCGAGGAAAAAAAGAGGACATTATATTTTGTTCCTTACTGGGATCCAATGGTACCCTAAATTCTAAGTAAGTATATACAGCAATGAGGACTGCAACGCTCGCAATGCGCTCCAATGCGCATGATCAGGAAAAATCCCACGAATGTCCATCACTTGGTCCATGAATCGCAGCTGATGCTTTTATTGAACAGTAGCACATAACCTGAACTGTCAAATAGCACGGTATCTGAAATATATTGATTCCATACGAACTTTCGTCGACCACTGTGTTATAATTGAATAGTCTTTTCTTCGATGTAGTTAATTGCGTAGATAATTAGGTACGTTTGAAGGAATATATATATATATAAACATCGAGAAATGAAAATTCAATGTCAGAATTATTCATATAAAAATTACTCAGATGTTTTTGGTTTATATTTTATATTTAGTGTCTGTAACTATTCAGAAAATTATTACATCTTTGCAGGCAATCCGTAATTATGTTTGAGTTACCAGCAGAATTAACAACCAAGCCATTAGCTCTCATTGGCTTGACTGGCTTAGATATTACAAATCCTGTACATCGTTCAATTTGGGATGCATTCAGTAATAATCGTAGATTGGAAGTTTCTGCTATTCAGTTTACATTACTTAACCTTACACATGAATTTCCTACAGTAAAACCCAAGGTATTAAACTGTTGTAAAGTATAGGAATATTACTTGACTATCATTCAACATTATGCATAATGTATTTTAGCGTAACTCATATGAATGGTATATACCCAAAGGAATATTGAAACGTAATTGGATGAATAAATACCTTAATGAAGTTCCAGCAGTTGTGGTTGTATTTTATGATTTAGATTGGAATGATCCTCAATGGAATGAGAAAAAAATGGAATGCGCTTCTAGAGTACAAACACTTAGGTACAAATGGCATTAAAATGTATCGTATATTAAATGTTGTTGTAACCATTAATTCTATGTGCTTATTATCTTAGAAATGCTTTGGAAGGCAGAAGTACAAAAATAGCTGTTGTACTCATACAGCATTGTACACAACCACCACCAGGTTCAGAAGATGCTTTAGCAACTGAACGTGGTACGGCTGTTTGTGGAGCTTGTGAACTACCTCCAAAATTATTGTATATTTTACCTCATGGAGATCACTTATTAGGATATACATCTAGGTAATAAATAAATTAAGTGTAGTCTTGTTATTTCGTGTCCTTATCATGTATATTTACAGATTAGAAAGTGCATTATACGACCTAGCACAGAGCTTTTATCATCACGAGTATCGTATTGTAAAAGGACATAGAGATCAACTTAATAAAACTGTACATCAACACCTATTTGTACGTCATCAGTTTAAAATGGCATTTTTAAATGAACTTAAACAGGATCAAAATGTGGCTAGAAGGTAAATTAATAACATTAACCGAAAGTTTGTTCGTAATTAAAAATTACGGAATTATTTTGCAGGCACTATGAGCAAGCATATAATAATCTGTTGGAGATAAAAATGACTGACACAAATGCAATGGAAGTTAAAACTATTGTTAGTTTCATAAACTATAAATTATGTAAAATAATGTTCAATTTAAATGTTCCGAAAGAAGCTATATCACAATTCAGACTTTATACCGATAGGTCAGAAATGAATTTAACAAGCAAAATAAATTACGAACTATGTAATGAGTGCCATCAAAATAACATGAAATTGGTTACACAGATTCAAATTGAAGACTGGTCTAAAGGAGCTTATGTTTGAACATCATGCATGGATGTGTAGTCAATTTTCTACATTCGCAGAATTATTTGATGGCGCTATTCGGCAGGGACTTCCCGCCGTTCAAACCCAGCATCCCGGATATTACTTTCAATCAGCGGCTCAACACGCAGGCTTGAGGCAAACAGCTTGCAAAGAACTCTGTCAGGTATAAGAGTTGATGATTCAGTAAACAGAATGTTATAAATAACGTTTAATTATAGTAGAATATGTATTATTTATTATTTTAGAATGTTGACAGTTATCCAGAACCAGACCCTTTAGCTGGAGAAGACAAACTTGAATTTTATGGACAACGACCATGGCGACCTGGAAAATTAAGCGCTGAACCCACGGATCCAGTGAAAGAAGCCATTGCTATACAGGCTTTACAGTACAAAGAAAAGCATACGGTCGATCATTCCGTAAGATATAATTGTATTCTTTTTGGTTTCAGAATTTAATTATTATTATATGTATATACATAATAAATATTTCATTTTCAGAAAATAATTATTGGGCTTTTAGGACATGCAATTTCACAATTCAAAGTGTATAGATGTCCAAGGATGAGAAGAGTATTAGGTATAACACATTTATTTACAAATACTTTTTTTTTTTTTTATAAAATTACATATGACAGAATAAACATGTTTTAGTGGTACAAATGGCCGAGGAATATTATAATTCAAAGGATTATGGAAAAGTTCTTACGTGAGTTACAATTAAATTATTACTATTATAATAACAGAAATATTTAAAAATAGCCAAAAAGATTTTGTACTACTCATTAGTCAAAAGATTGATCCTAACATTATTCCCTCTAGACTATTTTCATAACTTAACATCAAAATCATAAAATTTGATTGGCCAGATTATTGATGCACATGTTGTGGGAATATCACGGTGAACGGTGGCCCGTCTTAATCACAAATATCTTAAAGAATGCGTTACGAGCGGCTTACCTATCCACGAGTATCCAAGACTACATCACGTTAGCATTCGAAGCGCTGGGACCTTCCACTACGTTTTCGGAAGATTACAAAGTCGCTGTTTATAATAACATTATCAATATTCTTCACGTAAGTAAATTTTACATGTTCATTGCATTAGCGATCGATAATTAATGGAAGTATCAATATAAAACAATAGAAGAAACCACCAAATCCGGAGCCCGATTTACCCGACGATGTAAAACATTCTGCGTTAGATAAGTGGGTAATGGATCTCAATCAATCAGAACCAATTGTCTTTACAATTGACGATAATAATATGAGTTCGTTTGTAGAAGTTAAGGCCCGATTCTTGCAAGCAAAATATGCTGTTAACTCTACGGTCAGCGTAGAAGTTATTATTAGGTAATTTATTTTTAATTGATGTCGCGATCACAAATATAAAGCACGAGCTTTAATACGTCTTTATATTACACTTTCAGGAATTCATATAGCAATACTATAGCGTTTTCTAAAGTATCGATAACGATTGGTAGTCCAGGTTATAATTCAGAATTTACTGTTACTGATGCTGAAAATAGTAATCTTATTTTTCATGGAAAAGAAACGAAGAAATTTCTTCACCAATTTCAAGCGCCACAGCAAAGCGATGGTAGCGAGATACGCATCACCACTATTTCATTATACATGGGTAGTGATACCGTTTGTTGTATTGTTTTGCGATTTTCGGCTGTGGGAAGAGAAACAAATTTTTTGAGTCGATTGTATCCTGAAATACAACAACTTCGGTACGTTTCAAAGAAAACGCTTGTAAATGCCTCTAAAGAAATAATGCACTTCTATTTATAATAGCAGAGGAGAATTTGAAACAATACAACCGCTAGTCAATGCAGAAATAAAACAAGAAGAGTCTAGTCTGAATATAAGTGCTGAATCCAACAACCCAGCACTTTTAGGAGAATGGCTTCCCATTCAAATATCTGTTGTTGCTAATGAAAACATAGTATCGGCACTTTTATGCGTGTCACTTGTATCCGATGGAGCAAATGAACAATCAAGTACGCTCATAATATCGAAAGATATTTGTTATAAGGTTATGTGATGTATTTTCTGGTTTTAATTTTACTAATTTTCAGCTGAATTAAGTTTAACAATGCTTAACAAACAGTCGTTAATATCGATACCAATTGATAATCTAGAGAAGAATTGCATCACTAATAAAACTGTATATTTAAGAGCCCATAAAGTTGGCGATAGAAATATTCACATAAAGGTATAAAGTATTATAGACTCGGGTCAACAATATTTCAAAACAAAAAATGATATATGTAATTTCGCAATTATAGGTTGAGTACTCGAGATCTGAACAAATAAAAGGAACTAAAGAATTGACGTATTCGTTGTCAGTTGCAAAGCCATTCGAAGTTTTGACATTATTTTACACTACATTTTTCGAACCGCTACCGAAAGGTTTCGTTAACGAACCTTTCATACTAATGCCTCACATTTCTTGCGTTTCTCCGTGGCCTATAAACATTATTAGCACGTCCATAGAGTTAGTAAGTAATTATCTTTCCTTATTATTAATTTTTTTATTTTCTACCGCAATAACATTACATGCGCAAATTCACAGGGTGATTCTATAGAAAAGGAAACTCAAAATGAATCGATTTCCGCTTTAGCGGGTATTACACTTTCCGAAGGTGAAACAGGTACGGATTCGTATTGTTTGTTACCAAAGGGTGGTGGTGAGCAACCTATGAGTACAGGAGTATACACCATCAAATGGAAACGGTAAATAGATATAATAATAATTTGTGCAAAATTGAAATATCATAAAGTGTTTTGATAATGTTACGTGCTGTTTTAGTGCAAACGACGAGAATGCATTAGAAACTAGCAGCAGTGTAACTTTAGCTCCTTTATGGGTCGAGGATGCAATGATCGGTTTAGAAGCTAAATTGCCAGCCCATGGTTGGGTTCGTACGCCGCTACTCGTATCGTACTTTATAAAAAATCATTCCGATTATATGATAACATTGCGATTGACCATGGAAGCTAGCGACGCGTTTATGTTTGCTGGTCATAAACAAGTAAGTAGCGATACGAGTACAAATATAAAAAACCGTAATTAACTCGATCGTTTAATATTAACAGATCGATATTTACATACTTCCGAAAAATGAAAGGAAAGTCGAATGGATATTACGGCCACTGGTGGCTGGCTTTGTTCAACTTCCAAGTTTATCTTTAACAGTTCCTGCTGGTAATAATTTTGTCGCTTGTTGTATTATTCATAGTTTCATTTTAAATTTCAATTGTATTTGTTATATATAGACGAGGAACACAAATTAAGTAAAGCGCGACTTCTGGAGGTTATAGAGCGATCATTACCAAGTCACATATATATCCTGGTAAGTAATACGATTATATCACATATTGAACAATTTAATGTAAAAATGACTATCTTCTATTCTTTTACAGCCAACATCACAAACCATAGAAGAATAAATGAACCGATAAGAAGATATACAAATTTCACAACTTCTATTAAAATGTATTATTGAAACGTTAGATATACATACATATATTGCACATAAATCGTAAATGCAAAAGCATTTCATATTTAGGATTATGAATGTCATCTATCAAATGTAATTTATTTATGTTACTTCAACGTGTAATAAAAAATATTGAAATATTTTTGTGAGCTTTTTTTTCGTATATTTGTTCACTCGATGCGGGCGTCGATATCGATTACGTACAAGGAACGGATATTTCTATAGAAACCAGTTGCGATACGTAGTTGGCGCGTGTGTATGTTCGCTACGCCGTTATCAACCTGTTAAAATTTTAAAAATTATGCCACAGTGTATCAAAGTAATTACTTGTGAACGTTAAAGGTCATCGATAATGACGACAACAATACAGGCCAATGATAACCATGTACGCGAGGTTTCTTCGGAGCACCTGCAACATGAGCAACAGTCGGAACAGTTCCTAACGCCTATTTTTCGCATAAACTCGGAAGAGTCATTGGCTCGTAACCGAAAGTTCATAAAGGTATAAAGTAATTCAACGGGTGGTAAAATTCAGAAAAAAAATTAAAAGTATATACAGGGTGTTCCAGTTTTCCAGAAAATTAAGTGTTCGTATTTATAAACAATACGAATGATGTTCCATTGGTCGCGATGGCACAGCAAAATGATAATTAATTTTTTTAATGGAATTTTATGAAATCAAGGGTATACTCCAGAGATAGCAGTTCTAAAAGATCAAAGGCAAACATTTTACTTTGAAGAATTAAAAGATAAAAATGATATAGTACACGGGAGTAGAATGTTATTTATGAAATCATTTCGCTCGAATATTTAACGTTTCAAGGACGACAGTAAAAGCGATAGCATGCACTGAACGCCATTGGATATGTTTATAAATACAAATGTGTATAGATACACAAAAAATAGAATTAAAAGTGCTAAATTAAAATAAAGACTATTTCATTACAACTAAGAGGTTTTAAATTAAAGATCAACGTTTTAAAACAGGACCTGGAACTTGCGAAAGCTCGCTTAAGGACTTACGCTGCATACACGCCTACAGATCGGGAATTACAACAGCGCGCAGCCAAGTATCGTAAACGTCTTCAGAAACATAACCGAAAATCGCTTCCCTCGTAACGTTGGATCGATTTCATCTCAGGTGTCGAAGTATGTTCTTTCTCAATCTGATAACTCGAGCCGAACGAACAAACTTTCAAGTGAAAAGTTTGTTGATCGTTAGGATCGATGGATCAGACCGATAATTCAAATCGTAGTATTAGACTAACGATAAAGAAAAATACAGTCCTTCTATAAAATGTAAATTGTACACGTGGTGTGGAACGATAATAAAATATTTTATATCGATAGTTACGTAATTTTATGTAATAAAGTAAATTATATACTTACGACAGCACCGTCGATGTATTCTATATTACATGAGAACGTGTAGACAACTGCAGTCGGTATTCACCTGTGATAATGGAATATTCGCGTTCGTTTCTACGTGTGACGGCATTATCGTCGCTCGTAATTACTGACACGCAGAATGTGTATGTACGATAGGATAAGTTCGTTTCAGAAGTTACCTGATAACGACCTAAACCAATAATTCGACAAAAAGCCCCGTATAATGCCGTCGCGTTAAATTCCATCCATGAATCGAAATTTAGATTTCGGCCTTCGCGAATGTATCGAAATAAATTCTTTTTTAACAGAGTAAACGTCGAGATAAATTTCATTGAGGTGTTCGCGGCAATTACTCGCGAACAAATTCGTCGATACGTTTACTTCGTTAAAGCGTGTTTCGAGTACTCGAAATATACGGAATATTTTTGGTCACCGGTAGCTACTTGAACTTTCGCTTACCTGCTCTTCGATAAGGAGTTAATATATACGTTATAAATCTATCTGGTCCGATCGTTCTGTACCGATTAAAAATTTAAGAAGAACTAACACGTAACAGCTACGACGGATAAGGTCTCGGTACATAGTTTTATGTCATTTCTACGTGGCATCGCTCCTGCCAGCTGAGTAAATGAATTGACATCGAGAACTCCTCGGTTTGACCATTGTACGTAGCCCAGAAACATCTGTACCAATAACTTCTTTATCTCGCATACGACGTTTCTTTTGTATTCTAATCCCACTGGTAACGCAGTTTACCGTAATTCTTGGGTGTATTATAATCGGTAATTGAAGAGTAGATTTTTTTTTAACGCGAAAACGAGACAATAAACATTCGTGTAATTGTTTCGCTTACAATAATTTATTGTAATAGATTACAAATAATAGTTTTGCCTTTAAATACGGTTACATTCGCGCATAGCAAGCACCGCAAAATACAATATTGAGAAATGTTTTAAGGATAAGAATTTATAACTAAGGAAAGGAACGAAACAATAGCTTATATCGCCTCGAAGTAATTTATCGTCGAGTAGTTACGTATGGAAGCGTAAACCGGTATAAGTTTATTACATCGCGTTCTTGCTGTATTAATACGTTACCGTTGTTGTCGACCAAATATCCGTTAAAAAAAAATACTGAACTGCTAGATTTAATAATAGCGTTATTTATTGACCTTGTAAACGGCAACTTTTATTTTTAACGTAAGATGCACATCGGAATAAAGAGGAAAAGAGAAAATTCAATTTTATTCGTAAACAGCTATGTTATTTTTATTCTTTTCTTCTTCAGTGTATCATGTTAAAAAAATATAGGAATCCGTTACGTTCAATATTTTGTTATTTTATTAATACTTGGAAGAGAGTAGAATAAATTAAGCAGTATGCTTTAAATAAATAATGTCTGTTGTGCGTTTAAATTATTAAATATTTCATTACAAGTCGTTGTAACTTTTCTAGATTAAATTTATCGTGTAAGCTACATTATATCTCGGAAGAACAGAAAATCTGTACATAACGCATAGAGAATACATTGATTTTCTAAAACGAACGTACGTGGAAATACATCTAATGTAACCTGCACATAATTAATTTTGAATTCCACAGCTGCTGTCTAATGTCATCTAAAATACTTCATCATTAAGTACTAATAAATTTCGTAATTATGGTTGCAATCCTTTCAGGATTATTCAAATGTACATGGTGAGTTCCTTCCACCACATGAAATTCGAATCTCTTTGCACCTACTTTTATTTCATTTAAAATGTCATCGTAATGTTCGGCTTGATCGTATACCAATCCGTTTACAGCACGAATATTAAGATAAGCACATTTTATCCGTGCTGCATAGGAAAGCATTAGATCGATGGATGGCATATTCAAAAGGGAAGCCTGAACAATTTAGTACGGATACATTAACGTATAGATAGTATAGATTTTATGAAAATAATTATAAAGTATCAATAAGCTCGTTACCTTTAATCGTACATCGCGCGAAAAACAATATCGGTCGGGTTCACCACTGGGTCGTGTTCCACGTTTCATTAATATTACAGCACTTTCTTTAGTTATGGAGCCTTTATAACCATCGTATACTATGTCAAGTGCTTCATCGTATGTGTAAGACGGAATATTACTAGATTCCTGCATTTCATACTTTAAAAATTTGTCTATGGTATCGCCAGTTGCTTGAGTAATTTTCGCGACCCCTTTTACAGTAGGAGCTGCAATATCTAGACTAATCAGAAGTTCTACATCATCAGGATACGATGCAGCGTATAAAAATGATATTGCTCCTCCTAAGGAATGTCCAAGTAGTTTCACCTATATCAATAACAGATATGTAATATGCAATAATAAACATTAAATAGTCAAGTACCCATTGCAAATATGTGCTATTTTCGTCATAAGTAACTGTGCATTAAAACCCAAGTGCATGCATGTGTATAGACCTTTGGAATATGCTAAATCACATCAAACATCTCTTTATTCGTTATGTAAGGATACGGTGCAATACATAATGGGAATTTGTAAGGATGACTGTTACACTTATATAGTTGTGGAGTGGTAGAATTAAGCCACTCTCTAACCTTGCTCCAACTGAAATGTGTTATGATTCTACGTAGTAGAATAATACCGTCCCAGTAATTATAATAGAAATGACCCTTTGGATAATGAGATGATAAACCATGTCCAGGCATGTCCACACAAAGTACAGAAATGTCGTCTGGTAATAAAGGAATCAAAAGGTCAAAACTGCCAGCATTATCCTGACGTCCGTGCAGCGCCACTATTGGTTGGATCCCTCTGGGACCCCACCATTTGCCTGCAGGTAAGGTTTAATTATGTCATAATGAAATCATCATTTTATGCCACGGATTTTATCATTCTAAATACCTAAAACGCTGTAATAAGATTAAGGGAGACATTTTCAATTCCTTGGAGAAAAGAGTATTTTAGAATGAAACAAAGTTCCAGCAAAACTACAAAATTCTGTCGTCTTATTAAAGGTTTGTCTGTAATCCATAGTTATACAACGATACTAATTGTCCGAATATATATACTTTTTAGTTACCATACAAATGTCAAGAATTTGTGATTTGAAAATTTGATAGAAGCCTGTAACAGTCAACCTTGCTCAAGATAATTTTTATTTTTAAAAACTGATAATAAAATACTACTTTAAAACTTGTAGAAATGATAGGAAAAATGTACTTCGTAAAAAAATAGTACAATCTATAACATGAACTGCACTGTACACTTAGGAAATATAATTGTATATACATTTTAAGCAAATTAAACATATGTAAAACTCGTTGTATAACTTTTGTTTCATGGCTAACCTTATTCCACTTGTAAAATTTAACAATTCTACGAAGCAAGAGAAGCCCATCCCAGAATATATGATAGAAATGCCCAGGAGGATATCTGGAAGAATGACCATGACCAGGCAGATCTAATGCTAAAATGGGTACTTCTGGTGGCAATAATGCGATCAAGGAATCAAAAGTCCCACAATTATCTTGCCAGCCATGTATTGCCACTATCGGTTGTTGATCCACTGGTCCCCACCTCTTGCCTAAATTTATTATCGTACTGCAGTATTTTATTCTTATTCTTTATGATGGAAGTTTTAAACAAATTTCACATGTTTCTAAAAACTTTGGTAAAAAGGAATTGAGTAAAAATATTGACTAACCGCTTACGTGGCCCCATGGTACAGGTATTTCAATTTCTTCAAAATCTAAACATCAATATTACATTACAATAACGATTATTTTTAAAAATGATTGTCATAAATTCATGCCAACTTACGATGCGTTTTATGCCCATTCATGTTATCAGTGGGAGGAATTTTCTGTTCAATAATACTCATTTTGTTGAGATTGGAAATCTAACAATGGTTAATAATTTACTATTGGCTGTTTTCCTTATATTACTTAACAGTAAATCCACTTTCTTGCACTTTCACAGCAAGTTTACATATACAGCACGTCAATACAGAACTATTCCTTCCGAATTACGTTGCTAAAATAAATTTCCTGTTCAAAGATCAAAGTTCACATATATGAAAATTCTTAAATCTTTTGTACAATACCTTGTACGATTTTTACACTATATTACAATACTTGTTACTTTATACAAGAAATAGAAAATATTAAAAAACAACACGCGTTGGTAGAGGAATGTCCTAACCGTTAAATGTCACGTTACATGCTGTATACTTCATGAATTTCTATCGTTAAAAAATACGCGCGAAGTATAATTTCTAATTATATTAGAAAGGTTCAGATATTACTATTTGTAATGACATTTTAGATATTACCTAGAATGACATGCATTGGTAACTGTTATATTAATCACCGATGTGTAAAATGATTAGATAACATTTTTCTCAAGACCAAAGAGACTAACGGGAACTATTGACATTGACACACTTTAAGGTGCTTTAAGTAATATGAATATATCAGTTTTTTATTGTCTTACGCTACCACTGCATAATTATGTTATCAATTTGTGATTATCCGTAGTTTCGATTTTACGACTTATATATACCATATGTCGCCAATAGGTTACGATACTTTTAAACTCTTTCAGGTTTATTTAAATGTACATTAATTATTTCGAATAGTACTGTTACTTGCATTATTAAGATGGAAAATAAGGAATTCATAGTAAAAACTGTAATCCATGCAGGAACAAGACCATGCAATTTTGTACCTGGAACAAAAGTAAGCATGATAGATTTTGATTACATATCTACATAAAATCAGTATTTTATATTCCTGTTTTATTTATTCATATAAAGAAATGATTCTAATTGAGACTATGTTTAAACGGTTAGGTTGTTTTTCACTTTAAAACAACAAAATGCAATTCAGAGAAAACCGTAATAGATGATAGCAGGGTTATGGGAAAGCCGATGGAGCTTGTTTTAGGCAAGCAGTTTAAGCTTGAAGTATGGGAAGCTATTGTACAAAAGATGGCATTACATGAAGTGGCATGTTTCAGGGTTCATAAAAGCGTATGTTGATTCATAGAAACAATTTTTTAGCATAGTAGGCCATCTTTTTAATCTTCTTAGGATTAACATGTACTTTAATTGTACCTATTGTTTTAGCTAGTCACATCATATCCTTTTGTGTCTAAAACTCTCAGGGAAGTTGGAAAGCCACATTCAGAGAAACGTGCCCACCATTGCTGTGGTGTCACTTTACAAAACGAAGGAATTGGATATGATGATTTAAACGAACTCATTAGGTGTCCACAAGATTTAGAGTTTACAATTGGTAACCAATTTAAAATAAGCCTAGGTTAAAAGAATAACAATAGCTTTAAGTTCATTACTCTATTTTGTAGAACTTGTTCAAGTAATTTTACCAGAAGAATATGAAAAAGAATCATGGCAAATGACTGAAGATGAGAAACTGAAGAGTATTCCAGACATAAGAGAGAAAGGAAACATGTTGTTTAAAGAGAAAAATTACGAAGGTGCTTGCAATGTCTATGCAAAAGGCATTGGAATATTAGAACAACTTATGCTCGCGTTAGTATTTAATATGTTTTTTTCATTACAAACACATCTATTGTCAATTGTTATGTGTAATTTGTAGCGAGAAACCAAATGACGAAGAGTGGTTAGCACTGAATCGATTAAAAATTCCATTGCTATTGAACTATGCGCAATGTAAACTAATTCAAAAAGAGTATTATGTAGTTATAGAACATTGTACCACAGTTCTTAAACACGATCCAGGTTTGTGACTCTACATGTATTTCATTTTATGTGTACTTAAACGAGTAAATTATAAATGTATATATTATTATTAGATAACGTAAAAGCATTATATAGAAGAGGCAAGGCATACATAGGTGCCTGGGATGAAGAAAAAGCTATTAAAGATTTTAAAAGAGCTGCCGAATTAGATCCTGGACTACAGAATACAGTTGAAAAGGAGCTGCATGCATTTTCTATAGCCATCAAAGAAAAAGATCAAATAGAAAAGAATAAGCTATTGAAATTATTTAAATGAACAAATACGCATGATATCAATGGAAAGAGAGAATATCGTAAAAATTGTAATTTCAATACCTTTGCTGGTTTTTGCTGCTGAATCTTTCAAGACTTTAATTTGTCAATGCACAAAATATTGTGTTCTTGAAATATTTTTATATAATTACATAATGTTTTCTAAGTGTAATATACATATTATTCCTAATTGATGTACAAATTTAATATACAAGGCAATATCTGTGTATACCAATAATAAGTGTACAAAAAAATAAAACTAATAAATTATGATGGAGTACAGAGATAATGCGAATTTAAATTATCCCGCGCTTTGTCTTAGAATACCTCCTTCGTCTTTTTGTGCTCTTGGTAAACTACCTCTATTGTCACTCTATGATCCTGTTACTTAGGAGCATATTTGACAGGAATATATATATATGTATTTGCTATATCTATCCTTACTTCAAACCATATCGCACTCTCTCTAACTTGGACTGTATTTGCTATGCTTTTTGCACAGTATTTACCACTCTCTCTAGCCTCGTTCGACAACCTCCTCCATCATTTTAGTTTTCCTGGTAGGCGCCCATATGCGCGAAGTTGGTAAAATCGCTTCTATTCATTTTTTTGCTTACGTTTCGCCGGTTCCCTAACCTCAATTTATGTTATATTATGGTGTGCTGGACTACAAAATCGAAGAATTGTTTGCTATTTTTGATTAGAACACTCGAGAATTATATATTATAATACGTAAAAAGACATTCTTAAATAATGTACCAGGAATGTTTTATAAAGTAAACAAATCTTTCGCTGCAACCAGTGATCACGCGTCAACAAACTCTGAAGGTTGTTAGACAGAGTGAAAATTGTGTGAAAAATGATGTCTGATACGTTTAATCAGAAGTTATTTTATAACACTGTGTTATCGCAAACATTCTCTCCGGATGGAAATTATTTGGTTGCTGGAAATATTTATGGAGATGTATCAATTTTTGAGTAAGTGAAAAAAAACATTTCATTCACGATGGTAAACAATCCGTCAATGTAGATTATATTGATATTAATTAAAGTTTGGATGTTTTAAAGGCTTTTCTATATTGTTTTGAGTATGAAATTACGTTACAGAATGACGCGATGGTAAAAAAGTTTAAGGTTAAAACATGTTTTGTTATTTTAATACATTTTTCATCATTTCTGTAGGTTATCAAAGGCTTTAGGGCCACACAAAGTGGATGAAAATGAATTACAAGGTCCCAATTATCATTTCACAGCCCATCAAAGTCAACAGGTTCAGAGTATGGTATCCACAGATAATTTTCTAGTAACAGGAACATGCGGTGAAATATGTGGGTGGTCTTGGAAAACGGTTACCTCGAGCAAAGCACAAAAAAATAAAGCTTCTTGGACTATTCAAATTCCAGTTAATAAGTAAGGCTATCCTTATCATAAAATCATAAACAGATAACTGTGCTTGATAATATTAATATCAATCAATTTTCAGGGACAGTTACGAAAAGCCAGATGTAAATTACTTGGTGTATTCCAAACCAAATCACCTCTTGTATGCTGCATGCGGCGACAACAATATTTATGTAATTAGTATGGAAGATGGTAAAATCCTCAGGAATTTACAAGGACATTCAGACTATATTCATTGTCTTTCCTTAATGTATGCGTTACGCTACTATTAACAAATACTTTGTTAAATTTTATACAACGGATAGTACTGTGATTTCCAGGGGTAACCAATTAGCTTCTTGTGCCGAGGATGGGACAGTAAGATTTTGGGACTTACGAAAGGAAGAAATAACCAATCAGTTGACTCCCTACATGGTAAACAAGCTTGCACGACCATGGATAGGTAAATGGATTGGTGCTGTGGACATAACAGAGGATTGGATGGTGTGTAATATTACATAGAATATTATTATTATTCTTTTTCGTAGCAAGTTTAATGTCGGTTACCGATATAATAATTTCTCCAGTTATGCGGCGGTGGTCCAAATTTGTCTTTGTGGCATATGCGTACAATGGAAGTAGCGACCGTATTTGATCTTCCCGACGAAGGGATCCACGTTGCAAGTATTTACGAAGAACGCGTGATAGCTGCCGGAGCAGCTTCCCACGTCTATCATCTTACGTATCAAGGTGGAACGTTAGCCAAAGTGCCGACTTCCAGTAATACAGTGTACAGTATCGTTTATCAAGTGACACCACAAAAGGTGCTCAGTGTAGCTGGTTCCTCGAACAATCTTGACGTGTGTACAAACTTCAATTACCGCGAACTAATGTTAAAGTTTGCGTAGCGACGCATTTAGCACTAGAAGAATGAAAGTGTATATGGAGAGCGTTACGTATATATATTCTTTAATAAATATATTAATACAATGTGCATTTTATAAAATATAACATAAGACTTTTTACAAATATACAACTTACTCATCGATCATGTGTAACGACGTTTGCTTTCAGCAGAAACGCTTAATAAAGGCAGAGACGGGCACGATTCTCATCTAAAAAATTTTAAATAACGTATAAAAGATCTTCATTGTAGAATTAAATTGCTTCGTTGAATGACAGCTTGTCTGAATAAATCGTTACACAGAGTTACTATTCGTTATCTATTAACACAGTATAATTCGTCCCATCATTGATCCAAGGTATAGTGGAATGCAATCGGTGGCGCAATCGTCACAGGAAGCCATGACCCGCGATCACAGCAGGTATGAAGCCCTCTCTGCCGTCCCGTGAACGAACCCAGAACCAATCGCTGACGTGGTCACTGAGGAGAGCGACGACGTCCCCTTTGGAGACGCTCAGGGCGTTTCCAGCACGAGCCTCGTAATCGTTGCGTATGACGAGCAGAGTGTGACGCGATCCTTTGGTTCTAGCATTCGCTGCGGCCCTGAGATATAGTCTATCCACGCTGCGTTCACCACAGGCAGAAACGGCGTCTCTGGAGCCACGTCTTACCCTCGAGTTTCTGCCACGAGCTCCACACTCTGATCGAGTATCTCTTAACTTTTCCGTGTCGGTCATGTTCCCTGAAAGAGAAGTACTTGTGTTGTAGATTGTTCTAATTAGGCACTATAAGTTTATAGATTTTATTGTTTCACATATGCGGACAAATCTCGCGTTAGAATCAAAAGACACGTGTTCGCCGGTAATCGCTTAGGACTCTCTCTGCGCAATTGTCGTTACGCTGCTAATTGCTAATTGCTCGTACTCCTACTTCTCCTCTCTCTCTCCCTCTCTTTCTCTCACATACACGCACGCACGCACACACGCACACACATACAAATGCGCTTACAGAAGTGGCCACACTTGGAATAATAAAGGACTCTCCGACTCGAGCTTTGATAGGATCGTGGAATCGGAACTATAGAACAAGCTCCTCGAACTGGTCTACCTTTCTTATCGTGTGCTCTGAAATTTCTTTTACCTAAGGGACGAGGAAATACGTCCGTAGAATCCTCCCAGCAAGGCCCCCTCGTTGGTTGAGGCAATATTCCTAACGGCAGACAAGCTGCGTACCCGACGTATCCTTCTTGGCCATGCGGAGTTTGAACGTACAACCAGGTCTGATTCTTGAAGACTGCATTTACAACTGTCCCAAGTGGCAGGGCCATCTCATCTTGAGTGCCTCCCTGAGTTTGGTATAACACCGATGGGAAGGACAGGACCACGGGAATGTTTGCTGGCTTCTCTATGGAGGCCTGCAAATTTTTAATCCTCTACGAACAACGTTCGTCAAGAGCTCGACGAGGGGATCGGATAAGCGAAACGTACCTTCGTAAGGAACGCATCGAGGTCAGCAATCTCGTAGCCGAATCTGCTAGGAGGCCTAGGCTTGTGGGAACGTTTGGTTCTTCTATGCCTGTGCTTCTCCCGACCACTTGGCGTGGAAGTTGACTCGCGAGACACGAGAGACGGTTCGGACACTGCCCTTTTAACTTTCTCCTTGTCTTTAGTATCCCTTATCCCTGGATACTCCTTCTCGGAGTGCTTATCCAACGGACTGTCTAGCGACTTCTCGTTGACGAGAATCTCCTTACCGACGGCCTGGTAAGAAATAATAATTGTAAGTAAAAATCTTCATGTATAGAAGTACCGTTAAAATACTAACTTTTTCTTCAAGTTCCACCTTTTCCGTCCTCTCGATCTTCTCGATCCTGTGCAGCATCTTTTTCTCCCGTTTATCCGTGTCGAGGTTCTCCTTGACTCCATCCTTCTCTTTCACGCTTTTCACGCTCCTCTTCGAGGACCTTTCCTTGCTATTTCGTGACAAGCTTTCCCGATCGCCGTTGGCACCTTGACGTAAGAAACGATAAATGTTAGATTAAATGAAATTTGATAGAGGTACGTTAGATTTCATTTCCAGCAGACCTGTGTTCCCAGTAGCAGTCGAATGATTGTTGTTGGAGGCAGCTTGTTGCTGGCTGCGTAGGACCCAGGTCAAAGAGATCTTGGGGCGCAACAGGGTGCTTGGCCGTTGCCCCATACTCCTCGGCGTTGCGAGGGGCGTCGAGGGCGCGGGGGGCGTCGGCGATCTGGGCGGCGACGGCGACCTCGAGGATGGTGTCACCACCTGCAATGGACAATCCGCCACCAGGTCCACCGTCTGCACCGAACAGCCATGTTCCTGCGACAGAGACCAGAAACCTATCGTACTATACTCCAGCTCCATTTCCAGAGTTCGTTATCAATCAAAATTTGTTGCACGATTGCTTAAAGGTGGTAGGATCGTTGATCTTAGAATCTTTTCCGTTTCTAGCATTCGACCTGCCAAGTTCTGTACTTCAAGAGACTGTACATATTTCCGGAGTCGATTGTTTCCTACGAACATGGAAGAAGAAGAGACCAAGCAAAGGAGCCAGGCTGACCGGAAATTTTACGAGCCGGTCGCCGTTCGTTCGTAAATTTCACGGTGGTCAGAACCTCGCTATTTTATTTACGCGAGGCGACAACCATAAATTTCCGCGGGGCGGTAAAGCACCAGGAGCACAACGCCGCGCAGACGAATAATTCACTTCCACGACTCGCCTCTGGGTTAATTGAATGCCTATGAAACGAATTAATAACCTACTTCGTAGACGGAGCGGGAGATTTAGCAGCCGTGTTAGGCCACCGCGAGATCAGGACGGTCACGAAACCGCGTCGTGTATGTTCCCCGAGTCGAACACGAAAAGAATTTTCCTGTCGCAAGGATGTATTCCGTTTCGAGACGTTATTAACGCGTTCGTTGTTTCATAAATTCGCGGGAGAGATGCGGGCGAAGAGGAAAGGCGCGTTAAACGCACCGTCTAGGTCAGCGGTCGGCAACCTGCGGCTAAATTACTTATTCAAATAGCTTTCGAGGGGAGAAGTGATTAGTTGTAAGACCGTCTCAAGCGTCTCATATTTGTATAGACCTTTATCTCAATTGTCTTTAATCCTTTATTTATTGACGGGACTTGTTGGTTGCACACTTGTAACATTTGTACGATGACTAAGGCCGATCGCACGCGGGCGCAACCGATCAGTTTCAAACCACTCTGAAACTAGTTGCATGCGACCGTGGATCTAGGTAAAACAAAGATAGTGGAGTAGATAAAACAAAGCGCAAACGGTTTGCAACACTAATTTCAAATCGGTTGCGCCCGTGTGCGTTCGGCCTAATACGTTTTTCAATTTGCCCTAGATGAAACCAACTAAAACTCTACGTAACTTCAAGTAGAAACAGTAAACCAAGAAACGTGTAATCGATCGCTAGAGCAAGCCTGATCTGTTTCACGTGCCTCCTTTTCAACTAAACGCCTTTGACGCGTCTTCGGGGTTTGAAACGAGCCGTATCAGTCACCTAGCGAAGAATCGGGCCGCGTAACAAGAGCGTCGGTGTAAATTATAACACCGAGCTCGTCGGAGAGTGGTTGCTCAACCGGCTATTCAACGGGTAAAATCGAAAGCGGTCGGGTGAAACGTCTTCATTTTTCACGGTCGCGAGAGTCCCGGGGTCGCGTCGCGTTTTCCTTCGGGGCTAGCCCGCCTCGTTACCACGAGGCAAAAGAAGAATAAAATCCCACGACGTATTCGATCAGCCGCGAACAAATTACTGTATAATTTTCCCGCCGGCACGATCGCTCACGTTAATGACGCAATAATTCATAGGGACGCGTTTGCGGCCAGGACCACGTGTAATGTCTTCGGGGATCCGTCCGCGGCCGAAGACGAGCCGAGAGATCCTCGAGACGACCTGGACCGTTGAGTCGCGCGAGGGGAATACAGATGAACGCGCGGAAGAAAGAAATGTTCCTCGTTTATTTGGGAGGAAAGTATTACCGAAGCTTAATCGAGCTGCTGATCCCGAAGAAGCCGCCCGAGAAACGAACAAGTCCTACGGGAGGCCAGTGTTCGGGAATTTTTATTTGTCGACATAGGGACACGTGAGAAAAATGTTTCAGCGTGTATTAAGTCTCTTACGTTAATTTACCATTTACCGCGCCATACTGTTCGAGACAATAAAATTAGAAATACACGGTCACGAATGCGAAGTAGCAACCTATTTTAATTAATTTGACATTAACTTATACTTAACTTTGATCATTTGGAACTAGGATAGGTCATGCACTAGGAAATCGTGCACAGGGCCTGCGGTTCGTCTACATTCGAAGGAAGATCAGGTAAAAATCGTTTCCCAGGGTACAGTTAAACAATTAGGGATCTACGAGCGGTGAGCTAATCGAGCTGGTCGGCCTTTGAAAAAGAAACGAGAGCCGCGGGTCCGCGAAAGGAGGAGGCCCCGGCTTAAGTGACAGAAAGGCTGGTCCGTGGCGCGAACGAACACGCGAGGTAGCCCCAGGTGACAAGTTGAAGAGGAGAGGGAAGAGGTGGTGGCGGCGCGAGCCGTGCCTCCCGGATCATGCTAATGAAATTCTCAAGATATCTATCTCGCGCGCCACTGTGCACGAGGCATTAGTTTAGCTTCTCGCTCGCGGCCAGCTCGATCTTATCTGTCCGGCGCTTCGGACGCGTGGTATCAATTTCCGTGGAACGTGAAACGCAGGGTTAAGGGTCCATCGGGTTCGTCAACGATTTTAGCTAACGATCCCGCTACCGGTTAACTGCCCTCGACGAGGCGCTTTCGTGGCCTCCGCTCGCCCGAGGAATTCCGACGATTATCGTTGGCGGATCATCGTTAGTTTTTCTCGTTTCTCTGGAAGTTTTCTGGAAGAGTTTCTGCTCTTGTTAGGTAGAGGAATTGGTCCAGAAACATTCCGAGGTCTAAATATACAGGCTACTAGCTGAAGATGGGATAAGGGGATAACACACATTTGTGTAAGAAGTGGAGGAAGGCCGATCACACACGGCGCAACCGATTTGAAATTAGTGTTTTGCAAACCGTTTGCGCTCTTTGTTTTACCTACTCTACTATCTTTGTTTCACCTAGATCCACGGTGGCATGCAACT